TGGGACGCGGCACGCCGCGGCACCGCCGCGGGCCCGCCACGGGCACGCGCTGGGGCAGACCCCCGGGGGGGCGCTCAGGGGGCGCGTTCTGGTAAGGAACGGCTGCGCCGCGCGGGCCCTCCCGAGGATCCTGGGTCGCGGGGCAGCTCGCCCGCAAGGCCCTTGGAGGCTCTCGGGAGTCAGCAGGTGGCAGAGCTCTGTCGAGCGTCGTGAGGCTCCAGCTTACTTTCTAGCCTTGATTGCCAGAGAGAATTCCGAGCACCAGGAGAGTACGCGCACCGAAGTTGGAGGGTTTTTACGTGTCGGGCCCTCGGAGGCGATACTCGTTCAACACTGTTTCGATATTGTTGTTGCGGGTGCTCGGAATTATTTCTGGGATGTGGCCCTTAAGTACGATGGGAGCAGCAGAAGTCGGGCGGTAGGGGCGCCCTCTTAGACGAGGTGAGCGTCCCGTGGGGCAACGCGCCCTTGGGGGGTCGGGAGAGCGAGGCAATCTGCGCGATTTTGTTGCCCTCGCCGGAGCAGGATCGCGCTCGCCCTCTCGCAGCTTCGCCGGCCCCCTCCCCTCCCCTCCACTTCCAGAGATCTCCGACGACGAGGCGTCTAGTTTTGCATCCAGCCCCTTTGTTTGCTCGATTTCGTCTGGGGAAGCGGTCGGTACTTTGGTGGCCGCGGGCTAAAAAAAGCATCCCTCGAACGCGCGACCTGCACCGAAACAGCAATAGATCTTCCTACGTGGGGCTCCCCGTTTCGCATCGATCTCCCCCTCCGCCCCGCACAACGTCTGACCGAGCAAGACATGGAAGAGCCATCGAGAAACGGACCACCCAGGGGCGCCAGTCAATATTTCCCAACAGCGAGCTTCTCTCATGATGACGTGAGGTGGTCGATGTGTGAAGTAGGTGTAGCAGCGCAGCGCTGGATCTGTTCCTGCGCAAGTTTGCAAACATCTCCCCATGATGGCGCGAAACACTCTGGCATCCACTCCGCGTTGCCCGCAAGCATGCCGCTACCCTGGCAGATCAGGATGACCATTGCTCGAAGGAGGCATGTGTTCGAGGAGCACACCGAGACCGCACGTTCCAAGCTGGAGGCACGCTTCGCTACAACTGTCCGAAGGTTTCCTGGGTAATGTAAATCGAAGACGTGCCCTTCGCATTCCAGGTGGTCACACAGTAACACGAGGCCAACATCAAAGTAACCGCCCTGTAATCTTCTTAAGTGTTGTAACGACCTTGCGAACATGGGGAAGTTCCGCTGTGGAAGCTAACGCGGACAATAATGACAACACCACGTATATTACGTTCCTTGGACTACACGGTCCAATGGGTTCCTGCCGCCATTGATGGACAACAATGAGCTCTTGATAGGCACTTCAGCGCGGGCCTTCGTAAGCGAGGGGCACGAACGAACATTTTGCAGTGCCATGCCACGCCTCCGCATGGAGAAACGCAGAGGTTCCTGACGCCGCGGATCCAGCACATAGGACCGATGCGTCCTGAGCCTGCCCCGTGCTGTCAGGAAAGGTTCGTCGATGCTATTTTTGCCAGCAGCAAGGAGAGAATCTGCCGTACACCCAGTGGTCGCCGGCGCCCAACATACACTCGCGCCCACACAGAAACACACACACACACACACACATGCGCGAGTGCACCATGGACAGCGTGCGCGCGTCCGCCGGCGGGAGACTCACAGGGCTGCAACAAAAACGTGGAAGGATCGGGGACGTATCTTTTTAATTGCTCTCCTCTCTGGAAGCTTAGAATATCTTGAGCATAGCCTTGATTTCGGGCGTGTTGGCCTATCATCGAGTCTTCTCGTCCGCCTCCTCCTCCTCTTCCCTTTCCTTCTCTTCCTCCTCCTCCTCCTCCTCCTTCCCCTGCCCGAGTCCGGGGCTACTACATGTTTTTGCCTTCATGGCCTTGTCCCGCGCACGACGCTTAGCGGCCAGATCTTTGCACACTCGCAGGGCAGCGTATGTTAATCGATTGTTCGGCCTCCATCGCCATGAAACAAGCAAATCTTGAACATAGCCCCCAGCGAGCTTGAGCATAGCTTTGTGCATTCTTGGAGTTGCCAGCTGGCCCGCTGTCCTTCTCAGCTGCCTTCTATTTTCCACACATTTGGGCGACCCCGCCCCACCTCGCCTAGTCCCTTCGCGTGGGCACTCGTGCGGGCATCACCATCATCAGCATCGGCATCGTCATCCTCATCGTCATCATCACCATCATAGCATAACCTGATCACGGAACCCATCATCATCAGCATCATCGTCATCATCATCAGCAGCATCAGCATCAGCACCAGCACCGTCATCAGCATCAGCATCACTATCACCGTCACCATCACCGGCCCTTCCGGAATTTGAGCCACGCTGCTGCGGGCTCCCCGTTCGACCGACGCCAGGCCGGGGCGCTTGCGATCCGAGCCGCTGCGATTCGATCCGCCCGCTGGGCCCTCGACGCCGATTCGGTTTTCCATCCTCTGGGGCCGGCTGGAGCAGGGGCGCCGGGGCGCGGCGATCCGATTAGGACCCGCGTCGGGTCGATTTGTGCGCGATCCGATCCGCTTCCAATCCGATCCGATCTCGCGGTTCGATCCAGCTCATCCGGGGAGGATAAGGTGCCCATGCTTCTACCCTTCGGCCGTTTTCCGCTTTTTGGGGCCTCCTGGGTGGCTCTCGTCGCCACCGCTGGATTCGCCTCGGAATTCTGGTCACAACGCCCCCCAGGAGAGGTCCGCGGGGCAGCGGTATCGGCACCTTTTGGTTTCCCCAGCTCGGGGCTGCCAGACCCCGCGCGGGAGGGGGTGGGGGGTCAGCGCTGCTCCCTCGCTGGCGCTTCGGGCGGCCAGGGCCTGGTTTTGGGTACCCTGCTGCTCCCCAACTGCAAGGACGAGGAGGAGGAGGAGGAAGAGGAGGAGGAGGAGGAGGAGGAGGTGGCTCGGAGGAAAAGGAGGATGAGGAGGAGGTGGAAGAGGAGGAGGAGGAGGAGAAGGAGGAGGAGGAGGAGGAGGGAGGAGGAGGAAGGAGGAGGAGGGAGGAGGAGGAGAAAGAGGAGAAAGAGGAGAAGGAGGAGGAGGAGGAGGAGAGGAGGAGGAGGAGGAGGCAGAGGATGGGAAGGACGATCGATCGAGGTGGAGCTTCCTCCTCCTCCTCTTCCTCCTCCTCCTCCCCCTCCCTCTCCTCCCCCTTCTTACTCCCGATGTCACCGCCTTATGGCGACTTGTCGGCCAGGTGCCAACCGCAGCGCCGTTTGCGAGGCTTGCGCAGCGTTGCTGGGGTTGTCTTCGCCGTCGCCGTCGCCGTCGTCGAGATCCCCGTCGGCGTCGTGGTCGTCGGAGAAGGGAAAGAAGAAGAAGAAGAAGAAGGAGGAGTAGGAGGAGGAGGAGTAGAAGAGGGGAATGGGGAGGAGAAAGAGGAGCAGAGTTAGGAGGACGAGAGGGAATCTGATAATGGGAGGAGAAGGAGCCCGCGCGGAGTGCCCCCCCCACCACCACCACCACCACCACCACCACCACCACCACCACCACCACCACCACCACCACCACCACCACCACCACCACCACCACCACCACCACCACCACCACCACCACCACCACCACCACCACCACCACCACCACCACCACACCACCACCACCACCACCACCACCACCACCCACCACCACCCACCACCACCACCACCACCACCACCACCACCACCACCACCACCACCACCACCACCACCACCACCACCACCACCACCACCACCACCACCACCACCACCACCACCACCACCACCACACACACACGGGACATCGCCTGCAGTCTGCGCCATGCGAGCACAACCTCAGAGAGCGCCAGTGCATCGGCAGGGCCGCAGAGGGGCAGGAGGGCGAGGAGTGGCGAGGAGAGACGAGGAGGGTCAGGGAGAGTGAGAGAGAGAGGAGGAATGAAGGGGAGGGACTAGAGAGGAGGGACGATGGAGGAATGCAGAGGGGAAGCAGGAATCAAGACCTCATGGGGCCGTATCGAACAAAACACCATGCTCAGGTGTCTGCGTGTTCCAAGGGAGTAAAACAGCAGCCCTGCCCCCACCAACTGGCGTTTGCGACACGGTCCTGGGCGTTAACCAATGTCTTGACTCGACTCTTTCCTCACGTGTGCTTGCCGACGGGCTCCGCTGGTAATTGGGAAGGCTTGTTATCAGGGTGTCTCTTCTGCCCTCCCTATTCTTCCCCTTTCCCCCTCGTGCACGCCACCTCCTCCCTCCCTCCTCCTCCTCCTCCTCCTCCTCCTCCTCCTCCTCCTCCTCCTCCATTCAACACCCTTTTTCCTCCTCCTCTCTCCTCCCTCCTTCTCCTCCTCCCTCGTCCCTCATTCCTTCGCCCTCCCTCCTTCCTTCTCTTCTCCCTCTCTCCCACTCCTCCTCCTCTTCTTCTTCCTCCTCCTCCTCCTCCCCTCCTCCTGCTACTGCTCCTGCTCCTCCTCCTCCTCCTCTCTCCTCCTTCTCCTTCGTCTTCCTCCTCCACCTCCAACTCTTCCTCCTCCTCACCTCCTCCTCTTCTCTCTTCCTCCTCCTCGTCCCTCATTCCTCCGCCCTCCCTCCTTCCTTCTCTCCTCCTCTCCTCTCCTCCTCCTCCTCTCCTCCTCCTCCTCCTCCTCCTCCTCCTCCTCTCTCCTCCTGATCCTCCTGCTCCTGCTCCTGCTCCTGCTCCTCCTCCTTCTCCTCCTCCTCCTCCTCCTCCTCCTCCTCCTCCTCCTCCTCCTCCTCCTCCTCCTCCTCCTCCTCCTAGCCCACCCCCGTGCCCCTCCCTCGCTCCAGCGGTTAAGCAATCCTGGTGCCCGCGAGAGGCTCAAGCCAGGCCGCCTGCTGGTCACCTCCTCGCCCCACGCCCGCGCCGCCGGCAGAAAAATTGCCGGGCCAGGAGCGGGGCACTCCCGCGCGCATACGCCCCCGCCCTCGCGAGCGGCCTGCGTCCAGCCCGACCCTCCTCTGCTGGCCCCCCACCAGCGGGCGGCCATGACGAGCGCCAGGGAGGGCAGGTGGTCGGGGAGACCCAGGACCCAGAGGTCCAACGAATGGAACAAATCCAGGCGGAGGCTTTTCGTGGCTTTCGGCCTCTATAGAGGCCCTCGCCGGGCCCCTGGAGCGTAACAGAACCGCGACTCGGGATGAAATACCGGTCCCGGGGAATGGGTCAAGACTTCTGGGGGCATTCCGTGTCGAACAAATCAAGGCACCGGACCTCTGGGGATATGAGGGCAGGTCGCTCCCGAGCGTTCTGGGACGCTCTCAGGCGTCCGCCGACACATGCCGATACGATGTTCCCAGTCCGCGGCCCCAGCGGTCCCGACCAATTTCCCAGGGGTAGCTGCTTCGTCCCAGACTCGTTTTGGATGGTCCCGGTGCCCGATAACGGCCCCCTTGGGAGCCGAAGTCGAGGAAAAGCCGCGGGTTAAAAAATCATATCGTTCGAGATCTGCGGAGCGTTCCGGGACGCTTTGGAAAAGCCGCGGCCCCCGGTTCGTCCTCCGGACCCGCCGACTCTCAGAGTTTTCGAGCGTTGCGTAGTGGGCGGGCGATGAAGGGTGGGGGGGGACAGGTGAAACCTTTGGCGCACCCTAGGGGTTATAAAGGGGCCCCCTGCATATGGGGCACGAAAAGTGCGCGTGCCCCTTCAGGTCTGACATTGCCCAAAACTTGCAGTAGACAACATCACCACCGTAACCCCGGGCCCCATCTTGCTGCGCCTTTCTTCAAGCCCGATCGATATGCGAGGGCCCGGGGGCCCGAAGCCCAGCGAACACGCATGCTGTGAGACAGCTGCAACGCCCGAATCTGAGGGTCTCTCCCCCGTTCCAAAACACCAGCGGGGCCGCCGTCATAATTGTTTCACACCCTGACCTCGCGTCGTGAAAAATCACGACGTGATACTTTTCACTATTGTCAGCATCCGGGGGCCCTCGCCGGTCCCCGGGACCGTCAGAAAACGACTCCAGATGAAAAGCTGGTCCTGGGGAAAGGGTCTGGACTTCGGGGGACGCCGTCCTGAAAAAGTCAGGACGTCGCACGTCTGGGTTCACAGCGTCGGCACCCAGAGTTCTGGACCCGTTCCCTGGGGCTAGTTCTTCGTCCTGCGCATGAGTCGACCCACGGTCCCGGAGCCCAGCGAGGGCCCCGCGAGGCCGAAGATGGCGAAAAACCAACCGTCCCGGGATCCGACGTTTCAAAAAAAACTGCGACATCGAACGAAAGCACCACCGGAGCCCCGGACCCCATCTTCCCGCGTCATTTTTCGAGCCGGATCGATCCGTGAGGATCCCAGGGTCCGAAATCGAGCGAAAACGCCCGTAGTGAAGAAATGACTTCGGGAGGTCGTGATTTTTGTTTATGGTGCGAGGGGGGGTGGGTTTGTCGCTCCCCCCCGAGAGCAGCGCCCAAAAGCCCCCCGGGCGAGCCCGCAAAGGTGGGCGAGCTCGCACATCGGCCGCCAGCGGGTGCGGGACGGCGCGGTGGTGCCTGGCGAAGAGAGCGAGAGAGAGAGAGAGGGAGAAAGAGAGGGAGACCCACAAATCCGAGGATATGATTATTCCAATCCGGCGTTTTTTCGTGGATTTCGGCTTCCGGGGCCCGTTATCGGGCCATGGGCCCAGCAAAAATGGTTCCGGGACACAAACCACACCCGGGGAAGGGGTCGGGATCTCTGGGGCCGCGGATTGGAAAAAAATCTGATCGGCGGATGTTTGGGGACGCGGCATGAGGCATGCGGTCATGAGCTTTTGCTTGGCGTATCGCTCCGCCAGCTCTCTCCCCAGACCTCCTCGCGTCGTGAAAAAATCACGACGGGATTTTCTGTTTTTTTCTGAACTCTCGGCCTTTGGGTGCCCTTCCTGGGCCTGGGGACCGTCAAAAAACGATTCAGGATGAAAAACTTGTCCCCAGGAAGGGGTCCGGACTACTGGGGGGCACGTCATGCAAAAATCACGACGTCGGGGGTCTGGGTCTTCATTCCGTCTTTAGCGTCTGCGAGCGTCGTATAGCGTCTCGTAGTCGATGGGCTAGCGCCAGTTTAGCGTCGAGAATAGCGTCGAGATTAGCGTCGACCAGCGTCGGCCAGCGTCGCTTCGGAAGAGTCAGCAAGATGGTACGGGAGGCTCCCATGAGTTGCCACCGAAGGTTCTGGCCCGTGCCTGGGAGCGACATATGCAGTCCACGTCCCAGTCCCGAGGCGTCAACGTCTCGAGTTTCCCCCCCCTTTGGTCCGCGGCGCACAGCGACGCGCTATAACCCCGCTTGCGTGGGATGGCGCGTCGCGGGGGCCGCCGCCGCGACACGCTGAGCAAAAGTTCCCGGCCGTAGACACAAGCTTCCGCAGGTCGCGCGGATTTCTTTGGGTGGCGCTGCACCCCCGATCTCCGAGGATCTGAGCCGTTCAATCACGGCGCGTCTCTTCGATTTTAGCCTTTGGGGCTCGCGTCTGGGCCACAGGGCCATCGAACATAGATCCGGGACGAAGAACGGCATGCCCCCAGGAAAGGGATCGGGAGCTCTTGGGCCGCGGGCTGAAGAAATCATGTCGTCGAGTGCCTGGGCCCCCACGGCCCCCTCTCCTGGCGCGCCGAGCGCGCCAGGGAGGTTCAGCGCTGGCACCCGACCAGCCCGCGCGGACCTCCGGAAGCCCATGGTCGTGCGGTTCTGCTCCTCCAGGTGCTGCCCAACCTCTCGACGCAGGTGGTCCTGGGCGTGCGCCGGGAGGAGGCCCGGGAGGGGCTCAACCTAGAAGCCGTGTCGTCTGGCTGGGCGAGGGCAGGGCGAGCCCAGGGGGGAAGTGCGAAGGAGAAGGCCTTCTCGAGAAGGTTCGGAAGTCCCCAAAGCCTTCTGAGAAGTTGCCTCTGCTTCCCCCGGAGGACACAGAAAACACTTCTCATAAGGCGCGAGGGCTTCCGAGTAGGTCTTCTCCTTCTCACTTCCCCCCTCGCTCGCCGCCGAAAGGAACTCGGTGCACAGACGTCCAGCTTCCCAAGCTGGTGGGCACTGGAGAGTCGATTCGCCCTGACATCCGCCGATCTGTTCTTTCGGTCTCCGCGGCCCCAGAGCTTGGGACCCCTTCCCTGTGATTAGTTTCAAGTCGGGCGTGTCCCTCTACAAGAGGAACATGCAAAAAGAGTTAAATAGGGGGCCACATGCGAACCCTACCCCTTCCCCCCAGGATTTCTGAGGGGGAGGGTAGGGTTCACTTCGTTCGGGAGCCTATCAACACAATGATAGAGTGGACTATTTCTGATGTTTGCCTACCTTGGGATATGTTTGTTCATTTTTATGTGTCTTCCAACATCCGCCTGTTGGGGGACATGTCCGACCTAAGATTCGTTTTCCGTCCCGGATCCGTGTTTGATTATCTTGGGTCCCAGAAAGCCTCGAGAGGCCGAAGTCTACAAAACAACAGGGAAAGCAAAGAAAGACGAAGCCGGTGGAACAGAGCAGATCGTCGGAGATCAGACGTCCGAGCGCTTTCGCCACGCTCCTCTGGCAGTTGGCCGACCAGACGGCGCGGCATCCAGTCCAGGCGCCGAATGTGGGCGCATTTGGGGCTCCTTGAGGGGCTCTTGCTTCTGGGCCGTTCCTTTGGTATCGGTCGGGGGAATCTGTTCGTGGCCAAGGCTCGCCGTGACCAGAACATCGTCCAGTCCCTTCCCTGGAATCCGACACTGCGAACCCAAAAGGCATCGTGGCAAATCGCAACCGCAGCCCCAGACCCCATCTTTCTGCGCCATGTTTCGAGCCACATCGCCCTGTGAGGGTCTTAGGGCCCGAAGCCGAGCGAAGACGCCTAGCGCGAAAACGTGGCAACGCCCGGATCCCAGGGCCATCTAGGAAGAACATGTAGATGTATACATATAACAGGGGACCGGGGCCCGGGCCCCCGGGGCCGCGACTCTACCACAAATGTGGGTGTGCAGGCCCTTGGGGGGCCCCAGAGGCCCACAAAACGCCACCAGAAAGCGCCAAGAGAGCCCGAAGACGCGCCAAGAGGGACCCGCGACGCTCACAGGCCGCTTCAAGACGCACAGGCCGCTCCGAGACGCACAAGATGGCCCCCAAGATACCCCAAGAGGCCTCCCAGACGCCTCCTGTGACGCTCCCAGAAGCCCCCCGGGAGGGCCCCAAGAGGCAACATTTGCTCAATTCTTTTATAGGGTAGCGCATATGTTTGGCATATGTGCCTCTTGGGTTCTCACCGCGTCCTGGACGGCCCAAGAGGCCACGGGCTCCCGAGAGGGCCCCACGACGACCCCAAGAGGGTCCCAAGACGGCCCGAGAGGATCCCAAGACGGCCCAAGAGAGCCCCAGGACGAGCCCCAGAGGGGTCCCAGGGGTGCACAACCATATTCAAGTTCCGAGCGTTCGGCCCCAGGAGGCCCCAAGAGGTCCCCAGGAGGCCCCGAGAGGCCCCTAAGAGGCAAGAGGCCCCCAAGAGACCCCCAGGAGCCTCCCAAAAAGCCTCCAGGAGGCACCCGGGAGGGCCCCAAGAGGCAAAACTCGCCCCATTCCCTTAGGGAGAAGTATATTTTCGCATATATATATATATATATATATATATATATATATAGATGTATGTATGTTTGTTTGTTTGTTTGTGTGTTTGTTGGTTTGTTTGTATGTATGTATGTATGTGTGGATGTGTGTATGTGTGTATGTGTGTATGTATGTATGTATGCATGCATGCATGCATGTATGTGTGTGTATGTATATGTGTATGTATGCATGTATGTATGTATGTATGCATGTATGTATGTATGCATATGTATGTATGTATGTATGTATGTATGTAATGTATGAGTGTGTATATGTATGTATGTATGTATGTATGTATGTATGTTGTATGTATGTATGTATGTATGTATGTATGTATGTATGTATGTATGTATGTATGTATGTATGTACGTACGTACGTACGTATGTATGTATGTATGTATGTATGTATGTATGTATGTATGTATGTGTGTATGTATGTATGTATGTATGTATGTATGTATGTAACGCATGTAATGTAATGTAATGTATGTGTGTATGTATGCGTGTATGTATGTATGCATGGTTGCATGCATGCATGCATGCATGTGTGTATGTGTGTATGCATGCATGCATGTATGTATGTATGTATGCATATATGCAGGTATGTATTTATGTACGTGCGTACGTACGTATGTACGTATGTATGTATGTATGAATGGATGGATGGATGAATGGATGGATGGATGCATGTATGTATGTATGTATGTATGTATGTATGTATGTGTATATATGTATGTATGTATGTATGTCTGTCTGTCTGTCTGTATGTATGTATGTATGTATGTATGTATGTATGTATGTATGTATGTATGTATGTATGTATGTATAAATTCATATATATATATATGTATGTATATATATATGTGTGTATGCACATATATATATATATATATACCCCTTTGGCTTTCATAGCGTCCAAGACGGCACAAGAGGCCCCCAAGACGGCCCAAGAGAGCCCCAGGACGAGCCCCAGAGGGGTCCCAGAGGTGCAAAACCATATTCAAATTCCGAGCTTGAGGCTCCCAGGAGGCCCCAAGAGGTCCCCAGGAGGCCCCAAGAGGCCCCCAAGAGGCCCCAAGATGCCCCCACGAGACCCCCAGGAGGCTCCCAAGAGGCCGCCAGGAGGCCCCCGGGAGGATCCCAATAAGGCTCCCAAACTGCCTCGAAGACGCCCTTGAGAGGCCTCTAAGACAGGCCCATGAAGCGGAACGCGTACCCAGAAGTGCCCGGAGCCTGAAGACGCCTCCAGAGACGCTCAAGACAGCCCCAGAGGACCCCAGGAGACCTTCCAGAACGCCTCCGACAAGCAACACCCCCTCCAAAACAAAAGGGGAATCAGTGACTTCCGCCTTCTCGCCTTGTCGCCTCCGATGGGCTGCTGAGACCTCACGATCGCTCCCGAGAGGCCCCCAGGAGGCTCCAAGACGCCCCACAGAGCCCCTCAGACGCTCGAAGAGCCCCCAAGACGCCCCCAAGAGGCCCCCAAGAAACCCCTACAGCTTGTGGGTGACTTCTGACGTTGCATGTGTGCGTGCGCATCTGCACGCAACTGTGAGACTGTCACCGGCTGGAGCTGGCTAGAACCTAAGCGCGCGATATATCATATATCCTCTAAGCAAATATGCCAGGCCCCCTCCCGGGGCGTCCTCCACCTCGCTCGCATCTCGAGTACGCTCCCGGTACCGCTCCCTGACCTCCCGGGGAGCCCCCGAAACGCCCAAGGACAGCCCAAGACGACCCCAAGAAGCCCCCAGAACGTCAAAGAAAGGCCCAAGACGCTCCCAAGCAACCCAGGATAACTTTCGAGCGGCTCTCCAGGCTCCCAGGAGGCTTCCCAAAGACCTCAAGAGAGCTCCGAGAGGCTTCCCGAGATCGCCCAGAGAACCTAAAATCGTTAATGTTCATGGTTTTTGTTCCAGGGTTTTTGGCCTTCTCACCATTTCATGCTTCCAACGCTCCAAGCCAGCCGAAGAGGCCAGCAAGACCGCCCCGAGACCGCCCAAGAGGCCCCCAAGACGGCCCCAAGGCGGGCCAAGACGGCCCCAAGATTGCCGAAGAGGCGCCCAGGACACCTCCAGACCACCCCAGAACAGGCCCAAGATAAGCCCAAGAGCGGGAGCAGGACCTCTGAGAGGACTCGGGGGCCCCCCAGAGGCCTCCAACACACCCCAGAGCCTTGAGAGGCTCCCAAAAAATCCCCGATGACGCCCCCCCAAACAGCCCAAGAGAGCTTCGAGAGCCGTCCCGAGAGAGCCCGAAGAGGGTAAAGTCGTTGCTTTCCAGCTTTTTTTGTCGATGCACGTTTTCCCGCGTCCAACGCTCCAAGACCGAGGAACTTGAAAAACAAAAAGGATTTCGAGAGATTAATTTGTTTTCCAAATTGGGATTCCTACTCCCTATCCTCTTCCTCGAGCCCCATCAAGACTTCGGGGTCACATGCAATAATGTTTCGGGAATGCTGTTGAGCTCTCTGACGCTGTCTTGGCACTCTCTTGGATCGTGTTCGTGTCCTCTTGGCTGCCCCTGACACCGTTGTAGAAATCGAGATCCCATGAGCCCATGAGTTGAAGCAGTAGGATTTAAGAACTCTTTCTATTCAAACTCACCCCCTGCTCACTTTTGCACGAAGACCCCGAGAGGCATCCCAACAGACCGTGGCCTGCATGTAGAAAACGTCTAACCCACAGCCCAGGCACTACAACTTGAAAAAAAATGAAATCCCACCATTTCGTTTTTTTTTCCAGTTCGCCCAGTGTCTATTCTTGCACAACAGACCAAAGTCAAGGCCCCAGAAAAGAATCCAGGAAGTTTTCGAGGGCCCCGAATCGTTGAATACCTAACGGCAATTAATGATTTCTGCGTTTCCGCAGTTCCCTTTCTACACGATTTCGAGGCTTGCGCAGGGCCTCCAAGAGAGTCCCCAGATGCAAGAAACGACAAGGACGATATTCCATGTGTTCGCCCATCAAGCCTAGATAGAACTTGAGCGCGCGCGAAGCGCGCGCGATGGTTCTAGTGTATGTGTATATATATATATGCATGCAAGACTTTATTGGCGCTTCGCGCCATGCACCTTGGTCCTTGAAGTTTGGTATGAAGGCGGATTGGCAGCAAGGTCAAGCCGACAAGTTAGCGACAATTTCTTGTTGCCTCTTCTGACATCGCCGTTGTAATAATGTTATTCGTTGATTGTTCCTCATTCCTCATTCTCGCCATACCCTGCGCATTCTCCCCGTCCTCCTCAGCTCTTTTTGTGGAGGCTCCTCCTTGCAGAGCCTCTGGGGGCCTCTCAACAGTTTTTGCTTTCTTGAGGACTTCTGGAGGCCTCCTGGGCGTCTTCTGGGGGCCTCTGGGGGCTTCCTCGGCCCACCCTGCCTCCAACCGCGGTCTCCCTGAACGACGAGGTCATGATTTGGAATGCTTCGGAGGGTGTCTTAGGGCCATCTTGGGCCGTCATTGGGCTCTCTTAGGCCATCTTGGAACCCTGTTGTGCCGTCTTGGGGCTCTTTTGGACTGCCCGGAGACCCTTTCGGATGGTTGTGGGGCGCTTTTCGAGCCTCCCAGGCGGCTTCGGACGCCCAGAAGACCGCCGTCCTGGAGCGTCGGGAAGCCGAAAGAGGAGAGCCCCCAAATTCAGTGAAAACCAGCAGAAAATCTATGAGTTTTGCCGCTTGGGGCCTTCTTGCGAGTGCTCTTGGAGGCCTCTTGGGACGTTTTGTTTTGCAGCGATCTTTCGGGGTATGACGACTTCTTTGGGGTCCTCATGAACAGTCTCGGGGATCTATGGGGTCGTTTCGGGAGCGCGCCGGAACACTTGGAGCCCTCTGGGGCCGTCTTCGGGCTCTCGTGGGGTTCTCCTGGGTCGTCTGGAGGGTTGTCCGAGAGGCCCGGGTGGGCCAAATTCGTTAGGGGGGGGCCCTTTTTCTGGGGCCCCCAGCCTTATAAAAATACATGAATAGGAATATCGAATGTTTGGGCCAAGCTCCACGGCGGCGTGGCATTCCCTGACTTCGGATCCGCCGTACCTTTGTTGATTCTCCTATCTGACAGCGTGTTGGAAAGGTACCCGAAACGATGCGAATCAGTAGGTCGGAAATCTTCGCCTCAGAAATTGATGGCGAATATTCCTGCAGAAGTGTGGCGGAGACAGTGGCGGCAAGGCAGGGCCGAAATCGGCATCAGAGGAGCTTGAAGAAAAGTGGAGCGGCAAAGTCCGTCCTAGCCAGACCCCCGACGTCGTGATGCTGTATTCATGACGCGGCTCCCCAGAAGTCCGAGCCCCTTCGCGGGGACCGACTTTTTTCATCCTGAGCCGTTCGTTTTACGATCCCGGAGCCTGTGAAAGGTCCCCGAGGATCGGAAATTATCACGAACTCTCCGTCGCGATTTTTCGTGACCCAAGGTGGGCCCTGGGAATTTACGAAATCGCCCAGAGAGTGCGGCGGATCCGAATCGGCGGCGAGCGAAGGGGGAGGTGAGAAGCAGAAAGCCTCCTCAGAAGGCGGCGGGACGTCTCAGAAGCGGGACTCCTCAGGAGACCTCGCGCCTTCTGAGAGGTTTTTTTGTCGGAGGTGAGGGGGTGAGATCGAAGTGGAACGGAGAGCCCCCCTACCGGGAAATCGATTTCGGTTTCGTGTTCGTGCGTGCCGTGCGGGCGAGGCGAAGCTGCGGGGCGGGCGAGAGGAAAGTCTCCTGTGGCTGAGGCGCGGCCGGACCAAATGATTCTCCGCCGGGCGGCCGGTGGCGCGCGGTGTCCCGCCGGTGTCCCGCCGGTGTCCCGTCGGTGTCCCATCGGTGTCCCTGTGGCTGAGGCGCGGCTGGACCAAATGTGTCTTTTCCAGGCGGCTGGTGGCGCGCGGTGTCCCGCCGGTGTCCCGTCGGTGTCCCGTCGGTGTCCCGATAGTGATGGTCCCCGATGATCATGATGATGGTGATGATGGTGATGATGATGATGATGTTGATGATGGCGATGATGATGATGATGATGATGATGATGATGATGATGATGATGATGATGTTGATGATGGCGATGATGATGATGATGATGATGATGATGATGATGATGATGATGATGTGATGGTGATGGTGATGGTGATGGTGATGTGATGATGATGATGTTGATGTTGATGATGATGATGATGATGATGATGACGTCGATTGTGAGATCGATTGTGAGATCGATAGTGAGATCGAAAGTGAGACCAAATGTGAGACCGAATGTGAGATCGATTGTGAGATCGATTGTGAGATCGATAGTGAGATCGATAGCGAGATCCATAGTGATATCTATAGTGAGATCGAATGTGAGATCGATTGTGAGATCGATATGATGATGATGATGATGATGATGATGATGATGATGATGATGATGATGATGATGACGTCGATTGTGAGATCGATTGTGAGATCAATAGTGAGATCGACAGTGAGACTCAATGTGAGACCGATTGTGAGATCGATTGTGAGATCGATTGTGAGATCGATAGTGAGATCGATAGCGAGATCGATAGTGATATCGATAGTGAGATCGAATGTGAAATTGATTGTGAGATCGATAGCGAGATCGATTGAGTGAGACGTTGGTTCCCCCTCCCCCCTCACCTCCTTATCACCCGCAGGGTGGTCGTATAGGTATCTTCGGGGAAGGCCCAGAACACTTCTCAGAAGGCCGGGGGACTTCCGAGCCTTCTGGAAAGGCTTTCTCCTTCTCACTTCCCCCCTCGCTCGCCGTCCAAATAAGTCAGGGTCGAGCCCCTCCGAGCTGGCCCACCCGCGACCCGCCCCGCGACGCACCCCGCGCCCCACCGCTCCCCAGAAGTCCCGGCCCCTTTCCACGAGGCCGATGTGTCACCCCGAGCTGTTTTTTGACGGTCCCGAGGCCCGGCGAGGGCCCCCAGAGGCTGAAAGTGGTGAAACGCCGCCCGTCGAATGGTCTTTTATCTCGACGCGAGCGCTGACCGCCAAAAACCAAAACCCTTCCAAATGCCTTTTGGAAACTCAACTGTTTCTTTCAACAGCCCATAACTTTTGAAAACAACCATCAATCATCAAGCATAGTACTACACTGTCGCGACCTAACTTAGGTCCCCAGGGTGATCCCTAAACATTTGGGTGACTGATTCGGACACACCTGAAAACATCCTACCACTAATTTTTGCGGCACTCATAGGTTCCCTCCCAAAGGGTTAGGGGTATTTTATTCCAGGAGGCAAGAGTACACACAGACACGAGTAAACGTGGATTCCCGTGAGAAGAGAAGAAAATATGGGACGTGCAGGGGAACATTCAGATTTATTGCATATGCCAAAGCCATGGGGGATCTCAGGATTTGTATCTATCTATTTGTGTATCCCTGGGTGTCCTCAGTATTGCTTATCAATGAACCTCCCGCCTGGGAACCGGCGTGGCGTCTCGGACGGGGCTGGGACGAGGATAAGATCCGTTCCGTAGCGATCCGGGACGCTTTCAGAGCCTTCCGGAACGCTCTGACAAGGCCGCGGCGCCCGAGACATCCTCCAGAGCCGCCGACTCTCAGAGAGATTCTCGAGTGATCCTCACCCGATGTTATCCTCGTCTTGGCTTCGTCTGAAGATCCGCGCGGGCCTCCGATAGGGTGGCAACTAAGGCTTTGACATTGCATCTCCCGGGGGGCCTCGTCTGCCCCGTAAAGTAGTGTCTTTCCATGCGCCCGACGCAGGTTCGAGACGGACTCGACGCGAAGTTGGCGTAGATTCGACGCGGATTCTCGATTCACATTTGTTGTCCTGGGTCCTGGCTTTGTCTAAAACTGGCGTGGCGTCGAGATCCCCTGGCAACGACGACGACGACGACAACCACGACCACGACCACGACCACGACCACGACCACGACCACAACCACGACCACGACCACGACTACGACTACGACCACGGCCACGACCACGGCGACGACCACGGCGACGACGAAGACGACGAAGACGACGACGACGACGACGATGACCGGCGTGGCGTCGAGCCCCTCCGGGGCAGGCCGCGCCCCGCGGCGCGCAAACCGCCCGGGAGCTGCGCTCGGAGGACGCGCTGCCGGCGCCGCTCGCTGACGCTCAGACAGCCCGCGCGCGGCGCGCCCAGAGCGCCGACGAGCGCGGGCCGTCACCGCGGCGGCGGGCCACGGAGAGGCTTTCAACGACGACGACGACGATAACGACGATTTTTATTGCTACTACTACGGCTATTATACCTACTGCACCTACTACTACTACTACTAATACTACTACTACTACTACTACTACTACTACTACGACTACTACTACTACTACTGCTACTACGACTGCTACTAATACTCCAACTGCTAGTACTGCTACGCTTACTACTACTGATCTAACTACTAACTACTAGTACTACTACTACTACTTATTATACTGATACTGCTGCTGTTACTACAACCACTGCTACTACTACTACTACTACTACTACTACTGCTACTGCTACTACTACTACTACTACTACTACTACTATTTCTACTACTACTACTACTACTACTACTACTATTACTGCTACTACTACTACTATACTACTACTACTACCACTACTACTACTACTACTACTACTACGACTACTATACTACTACTACTAGTATAGCTACTCTTACTACTACTACTACTACTACTACTACTACTACTACTACTTTTACTAATAATACGAATGCTAATACTGCTACTACTACTGCTACTGCTACTACTACTACTACTACTACTGCTACTACTACTGCGACTACTACTACAACTACTAATGCGACTACTACTTATACTACGACTGCCACTGCTACAACAACTACTACTACTACTACTACTACTACTACTACTACGACTACAACTACTGCTACTACTCCGATTGCGACGACTACTACTACTACTACTGCTACTACTACTACTACTACTACTACTACTACCTCTGCTACGACTACTACTACTACTACTACTACTACTACTACTACTACTACTACTACTACTATTACTACTTGTGCTGCTACTACTACTACTACTACTACTAGTACTACTACTACTACTACTACTACTACTACTACTTCGAATACGACTACTACTACTACTACTATTACTGCCACTGCAACTACAATTACTACTACTTCCACTACTATCACTACTACGACTACGAAGACTACTACTACTACTACTACTACTACTACTACTACTACTACTACTACTTCGACTACGATTACTACTCTTAAGATTGAGCGTATTACTATTATTATTCTTATTGCTACGACTACTGTTACTACTTTTTACGACAGCTACTATTACCACTACAAGTGCTGCTACTCCTACTACTACAGCTATTACTACTACTGCTACTATTATTTCTAATTCTACTATCACTACTACTACTTTGGCTACGTCTACTAGTATCACGACTACTACTACTAGTACTACTACTACTACTACTACCACTACTACTACGACTACTACGACCACTACTACTACGATTACTACTACTACTACTCCTTCTACTGCTGCTGCCACTACTACTACTACTACTACTACTACTATCACTACTAC